CTAAGAACCCATCCATCAACAGATGAATGGATTAAGATAATGTGGTATGTGGCATATGGCATGAAATACTACTCAGCAGAGAAGAAAGAATGAAAATATTTCATTTTGCCATAGCTAGAGTGGAACTGGAGGTCATTATTTTAAGTGAAGTAACCCAGAAACAGAAAAATTAATATCACATTTTCTCAGTAGGAGCTAAACTAGACTGCACAGGGACACATAGTGTGGTATGAGGGGCGCTGGAGACACAAAAGGGTGGGAATGCTGAGGAATAAAAATTACCTATGTGTATAATGGGTGCTACTCAAGTGATAGGATACCAAAAGCTCAGATTCTAGCACTACACTATAATAGATATACAGGTAACAAAATTCTACGTCTACCCCAAAACATATTCAATGAGTCTAAAAAACAATTACTTGAACTGAGCATTATAAATGAAAATGTACAAAAAAAATGGAAGTGGAAAAATTCTTAGAAAAAGATTCAAACTCTTGGTGTCACAGTATTTGAAGTTAAGGAAGAAATGCTTTTTTAAAAAATCACTATTACAATCAAAGTAATGAAATTGTCATTTAATATTATAAATACAAGTGTACAATAAATTGATCATTTTTCACAGCATACAGAAGGGAAAACAGAGACCCTTCTTTATACACCATAAAGGTTTTTCTCCCTCCTATGAACGAAAGACTGATTGATATTCATTACCTTTCAGTTGATTTCATTTTTTTTTTTTTTTTTGGCAGTTTTTGGCCAGGGCTGGGTTTGAACCCACCACCTCCAGCATATGGGGCTAGTGCCCTACTCCTTGAGCCACAGGCACCACCCCGGTTGGTTTAATTTTTAAAACTTTTATTCATATCCTCCCCATTGCGCATATGATAAAAGTTTCAGTTTGGCCTGTAATGATATACTTTCCATAGAAAAGAAAAATTAATCGAAGCCTTGCCTCTTTCTCTGTTGGACCTTCTAAATGAAAGTACGTGGCCAAAAGTTATAGGGCAGGATGAAGGGGGCATTTTTTAAGAAAATCATCTGGGGAAATTTCCAGAAGAGATAAGAGTCAGACCCTGGGCTGATGCCAAGAATAAAATGCAAATAACATGTTCCAATAACTTTGAAACAATAGCATAGCATAGCAGAGACAGACAGCTTGTGTCAGAATTCTGCCTTTCCCTGGCTGGCCCTGTGATACTGATCAAATCACCTGACTTCTCTATGGCAAGATTCCGCATCTATGAGAAGGGAATGATAATCCCAACAGAACCTTGTGAGGTTGGTGTAAGGAGTAAGAGGGTTCACATATGTGTTGAACGACAAACAATAGGTATTACTTTATTACTCACTATTACAGCTATTGTGTCTATACTATTATATCTTTTAATAAAATGACTTTTATTAAAGGTGGACACTTTTTGAAGGCAGAAGTTATATCAACATTCTTTGGATCTCAAATGTGTACTAAGGATTCACAAGCAGAGGTATGTGATCCACGTTAAGTGGTGAATGCATTTTAAAACTTCATAAATACATAGATTTGACAACTTCCAAGGGAAGAACGGTATTCATATAAAGTGTGTTTAATATTGAAAATAAAATGTTAAGGTTTTCCACAACTTCAAAACTTAAAAGGACATTTTAGAAACGATTTATCAGTCCTCTCAAAATGATTGATTTAGTTCAAAGGACTGCACAGTTTTCTGTGTTTCTACTTCAGCTTGACAGAAAATAGGTAATGTTTCTTAAATGAGTGAAAGAAAGTTGTAATCGTATTACCTCTTGATGAATAATTCCTATCATCTTTTTAAGAACGAAAAGTAGAAACCTACTTAGTAAGAATGTCTATTTATTTATGCACACATAGTGTTTCATTAGTTTGAACTGATTTTTAAAAATTAAGATTTATTTGAAATCTTGAAGGTATTTCGGAATACATATTTTATGGTCTATGCTTGTCCAAAATTAACTGTATGTGGAAATCTTGGCACATCTTCTGTGACTATGGCTATGTTTTCAAGGTAAGCATCACACTGATTTGAGCTCTGTAAGTATTTTGAAATGTTAGTGCTTATAATCTCTTTATATGATTTTTATTTCTTAGAAATAATATAGAATTGGTACATAATTCTGTCTTACCCTGTTTGAGTCAATTCTTGCTCTGGAAGTATAGATGGGAGGTGGGATGTTGAAAGCCTGAGGGACTAGGTATTCCTCAGCATCCATCATATCTTCTAAATCCTCTTCATCCAGGAGATTCTGAAAGAACTTGCTGTCATTTGGACTGGGAAGCTTCATACGATCATCACCCTGAAATATTGCCCAGCAGACAAAGACAGAAAATGATTCTTCCCTTCATCTTAAATACCTTGTCTTTGCAACAAATTTGTGTAATATCATAACAAATAGTGGGAAAATTCATGCACACATTAAAAAAAAATAATTCTTCAGCACAACCTCTAGCCACAAAGAATACCTCAATGTGCTTATATATGACAGGGTTAAATAAGTTAGTTTAATATAAGAAGAGTATGATAAACACCAGTAGAGAGGAATAAAGCAGAATGCCAAGGATGTTTTTAGGGAGGTAACATCAAATACACACTTGAGAATAAT